CCTGGGCACAGGGCCAATCAGGAGCCCTGCAAGGGGGCAAATCCGCATGAGAGAGAAAGAGAGAGAGAAGCACAAGTGCCTCTCTCTGTCTCTCTCTACAAATGGCGGAGGACGCTCGGAGCTGCAGGAGAAGGCTCAAAAGTGTCCCCAAAACATCTCGCTCCATCGCCCCCCTATCGCCCCCTTTTCATTCCATCGCCCCCACGCCGCCCCTTTTCGTTCCATCGCCCCCCTGAAAAATGAAATCGCCCCCTGGGGGGCAGTATCGCCCAGGTTAAGAACCACTGATTTACATTGATATGTCCTGATGACAATTTTAAAGAAAACAAAAAAAGTGTTTCCATAAATTGAAGAATTATTTCCTATGTTGTGATTGAGAGGTTATGTTGGGGGAGGGGGGCAATGACAACTTCCTCATTGGCTCAAGGGGGCGATTCGTTCAAAAAGGTTAAGAACCACTGACATAGATGATAAGGAGTCTGGAGTCTAAATGTATGATAAACAATTGAGGGAACTAGGTACATGTAGCCTAACAAAAAGAAGGCTTAGAGGAGACATGATAGCTGTCTTCCAATATTTGAAGGGCTGTCACAGGGAAGAGGAGGAGTCAAATTATTTTCCATAGCATCTAAGGGAAAGATGAAAAGCAATGGGTGGAAGCTCATCAAAGAGAGATTCAACCTGGAACTAAGGAGAAATTTCCTGACAGTGAGAATAGTTTGTTAATACTTGCCTCCCAAATGCATCACTGGAGATTTTCAAAAAAGATTGGACAACCATTTGTCTGGGATTGTATAAGGATTCCAGGCTTGGGCAAGGGGTTGGGCTACAAGATCTGTAAGGTCCCTTCCAGCTCTATGATTCTAGACCATCATCACAGACCTCGGGTGAGAAAAAAAGAGTACATTAAGAATTTATTTTTTATTCAGGGACTGTGTTGTGCTGATAACATAGGGTACTACTTTTTAACAGTGGCATTTTCTTCACCTCATGCACCGAGTATTCGATGTAGACAACATATGACTGATGAACCTGCTAGAAATAGCTACAGGGCTGTTGCCGTTAATAGAGTCGGTGTTTTTGATTTTTGCTTCAGCCCCTGTTCTGATGAAGGAAGAGATGTCTGTAAAAGAAGATAAGGCCAAGGAATTCTTAAACAATCTGAAACGTCAGAAGCGCCAGCTTTGGGACAGAAGTCAGCCTGACGTACAGCAGTGGTACCAGCACTTCCTCTATTTGGGTTTTGATGAAGCTGTAAGTGGCATAGTTGTACTGTAACTTCCAAAAATGTAATTCAGTGATCTGAATTAGCACTGTGGAAATCTTATTGGATTCAAGATAACTGCTTGATATTTTATTTTCTTTGAAATAAGCTTCATATTTTTGTTTTATGTAGTTACAGATATAGAAAGGAATTCAATTTAGTTTGAATCTTATAATTATATTCATTACACTAGGTATGGGAAACCTGCCTTCTTTATCAGCAAAATCATTCCACTTATTATAAGTGAATTTGAGAAGGTGAATACTTGATAATGGTCACAGCAGGTCAAGCTTGATAACTGTTTCAGGAATCTGTTCAAACCAATTGAACTTAATTCTGGCAAAGTTTTTCTGGAAAAAAGCAGTTATTTAATGACATGAATGCACTGAGAACATTCCTACCTTATGGTCTTACTGAAGAATAAATGGGACATGCAAACAATGAATCAATTTTTCATGTAGGCATTTTACCCATCAAATTAAACCACTTTAATTTCAGGATATACAGGTAATCCTCGAGTTACAAATGTAATGGAGCCTGCCCATTCTATTCGTAACTCGAGGATTCATAAGAATGAATCTTGTACTTTGAACGTGATTCATTCCCAGCTTTTTCCCACGCATTTGCTAATTTAATACATGGGCAAATGCGCAGCTTGTTAAGTAAACATGAGGTATCTCAGGGTGGGGAAGGCCATGGGGGCCTAGTGATGAAACCCTAGTAATGCATGGGCAAATGCGCAGCTTGTTACGTAAACATGAGGTATCAGGATAAGGAAGGCCATGGGGGCCTAGTGATAAAACACATGATCACCCACTGAGATACCTCATGCTCTCTCCCCTGGGGTCTCCACAATTGCTCCCCCGACCAATCCTGCCACGCCAGATCACTTAATTTGTGAAGATCTCCAGCCTCTGTTTCTTTCTCTGTTCCCGGCAAGGACAGAGGGAGGCTTCCGAGGCCCACAATGGACCTCCGGAAGCATGCAGCCACTGCCCACAGCCTCCATTCTGGGCCTTGAAGGTCTGGTCTCTGAGGCCCATTCTGGGCCTCCAGAGGGCCACGGAAGAGTCCCCCAGCCTTTCTGGGTGGCAGCTGCCCGGAAAAGGCCTCCAATGCCTGGATCATGCCTCCAGAGCCCCTGGAAGCCATCCCCAGCCTTCTTTCGGGGTGGCGGCAGCTTGGAAAAGGCCTCTGATGCCCAGATTGGGCCTTTAGAGCCCCACTGAAGTATCCCTCGGCCTCCTTTCCGGGCAGCAGTGGCCCAGAAAAGCCTTTAATGCCTGGATCATACCTCTGGAAGCCTGCAAAAGCCTCCCCCGGCTTCTATTCCATTCTCTATTGCAGAGAACAGAGGCCTAAACTACCGTGAGATCATGCAAGATCAGTGGTGTGAGATCTCACGCCACTGATCTCGCATTATCTTGCATTACTTTAGGTCTCCATTCTCTGAATGCACCAAAGGCCTGGAGCAGCCAAGAAAGCGAAGGATCTCTCGATCTTCGCAAGGTGAGTCTTCACAGGCCTAGTGCCTAGGGAGACCCAAAGGGTGAGGGAGGGAATAGTCAGGGTTAATGTTGCAGTGCTACTGTGGTCGTTCGCAAGAGTGAATGATTGCTGTGATGCAGCAACATTCATAATTTCAGGAGTTTTTCGTAAACACTAGGGGGCGCTTATCGCATAACTTTGAACGCTAAGGGAACATTCATAACTTGGGGATTACCTGTAGTTTGTGTGCATGTGTTATTTGAATCTAAGTTTTAGTTGTTTTTGGAAGGAAAAGGCAGAGAAGCTATTTAAAAAATACTGAAAAAGAATATGGCTTTGGTGGCAATATGTTAGGAAGTCAAATGCTAAACTGTGAGAATAGAAAGTAATAAGGAAAGATCCAGTGAAATCTTATAAATTGGATGGATTTTTTATTACTGAAGACACTGCAAAAATGTTTACTTGAATGTGCATTAGGCTGTTTCAGTACTTCAGAATTTGAAAAAACATATTCGAGTTCTTCAAATTTTTGTTTTTCTATACTAGGGTATACTAATATATTTTGTTAAATTTTGAAGATAAATACAGTAAAAGTTACTTATAAAGAACACTGGAAAATGATAGAAGCTGAATCCTAGATATAAATCCACTTTCCAGCATGTTTTTTAAAACAATACAATAAGTACTTAATGTAAAAGAAATGAATTAATATAATCTTTCAATTATTTATTTATTTATTTATTTATTTAATTTAATTTATATGCCGCCCTTCTCCCGACAGGGACTCAGGGCGGCGCACAACATATTTAAAACCAGAACATATATACAATCCCCCCCTTAAAACCGAATTAAACCGAATTTTAATGTTGCGTCTTCCGAATATTTAAAACCCAATATAAAATCCACCCTAGGTCAGGTCCG